CCAGTACATCATATATAATGTACAATTACATTTTGATCGCGTGGAAAGACGCAAAAGACATGTTGGAAACTCTTCTTGGTTTCAGTGAGGTAAAGAAGGAAATAAAGAAAGAAGGAAATATAGACTTGTATAACACCTCTTGACAATATCTAATAAATAATGGAATATTCTTTTTTGATCACTTAGAAAGATAAAGAAAACATATCAGAGAATCTACTTGAGAACTTAGTGAAAAAATGAAAGAAAGAAATGAAGAAAGAAAGAAGTTTTTAATGTCTGTTTCGTTGAAATAGAAAAAAAGTTGTCAATGTCAAAACTTTTCGTCTGTACGCCCTTATTTTTTATAATGACAACCAGTATTCTTATTTATGATCGTTATTGTAAAATGTTTAATGATGCGATTGGGGAATTTGTCAATAATTTATTGTCGTCGAACTGGCCATCAGCTTATTGAGTTATTACCTTAAGAATTAAGATATATAAAGAAATTCAAATACAAAACCGGAATTTTTACTGGTATTTCTAGTTCATAAACATATGGAATACGAACGTCAGAATTGAAGGTAGAGTTCAAGAAATAGTATATTTTTTTTTGTTTATAATGAATATTAACATAGTAATTTAAAAGATAAATCAATATATTTTTTATTATTAATTTATTCCGTATCGAATGCATCCAATAATCTTTTGAATTTTATTTAAATTAAACTCAAATATTCAAACAAACATTTTTGTAAATAAAAAAAAAATATGTGCTAAGTTAATATATAGAGTCTCGTTTTAAAACCTGGAAAAACCTTTTTTTTTTGTATTTTATCTCTAGATTGTTACTCTAAACTACTTTTCTTCCATTCCCGTCAAGAAATTCTTGGAGTTGCAGAGCATATCATTGCAATGCTCACAACTTCAACTATCTCTAAAAGATTTTTGTCGGCTAAAGGTCTCGGCTTTCAACTTGTCATCGTAAAACATAAATCATATTTGTCTACAAACAAGTTTTAACTCAATCTTATGAATGATAACATATGTTTGAACATGCCTCAACATCACAAGTTTAGTTCCTTTGCATATTCCTCCAATTTGTGGCTCAAAATAACAATATATTGTTAGTTTCTCATGGATAATGTTATAGATGAATCTACAAGGGGTTACTAGGTGTGGGCGAATTAGAAAACATAAGTTTATTAAGGAGCAACGAAAAATAATAGTAACAAAAATACAGTAAAAAGCGATGGACATTGCATTTGAATTTTTGAAAATTAAAGATAGCTGGAAAGCATGGACATGGATGAGAGTTCCACAAGCGAGAAGTGCAAGAAAATAAAATGTTAGCATAAAATTTACGGAGACATCTGGCCAACTCAACTATATATTGGTGAAACCTCGTTGCTACTATAATACTGCGATTAAATTTATGAAGTCTAGGTACCCTGGTGAAGAGCTCATCCGAACATTTGTCATAGACGTATTTATAGAAAAGTCACAGAGAGTCAAATTTACGGCGGTGGGAAAAGGGAATGAAGCAGAGACGCCAGATCAGGTGCAATAAAATCACTGATTCTTTGGTTTTTATCAAGCATCTCTAAATATATATATTGGGAGCAACAGACCTTATGTGGAAGCAATATTATAAGCATGGTCAAATTGTACACTTCTAGATACGTACGCTAGATTCTGGAGAGAAAACTTTTCTAGCACGATACAGTGAAACAACTTTCTGAGCAGATGACCTAGCAATGGATTCAATATAGTCCTTCCATTTCATGTCAGCCGAGAAAGGGAGTTCGAAAAGGCGCAACGAGTCGATCTCCTGGAGGTTAGTTTACTCCATAATGATGGATGATACAAAGTGGTTTTTCAGATGATTAATAGAGAGCAGTTTACTTTTGGAAACGTTAAAATTAACAAGCCATTTGCTTAATTGAACAACAGAGTGGATGTCGTTTTTGACATCATCCGCCAATTTGAGCATATCGGACCGATCAGACTTAGTATCGAGACGGGAGTAAATGATTATGTGGTTATCATAGATACCAAATTGAGTGTTAATATATTTGGGAAGTCGTTAATGAAAATTAAAACCTAAGCAGGACTAAGGTTAGAGCCTTGGAAGCACCTGTATTAGTGCAAAGTCTTCTAGAATAGTGGCCATTCAGGACAAATTTAATTTCACGATTTGATAAGAAAGACCGCCACAGTACGAAAATTTGTCAAGAGACACTGTAACTTTTCAATTTTGAAAGAAGATATGCATGCTAAACCTCGCTGATATCTTTCGAGATATCCAAAGCAAAAACCGGAGCTCACCATTCTTATCTAGACCTTGACATTCGTATTTCACCATTATCGTCAGAACATCAGTAGTTGACCTGGAGAAACGATAGTGGAAAATAACAATGCCTGTCATGCTGTTATGCATATTAACGTTAGCATAAAACAATAAGGAACAATTTAAATCAGAACCACAAAATATTACCTTCCGACTATCAGATCACCAGCAGTCGGTATCATAGAGTGCTATAAAACTGATTATCATTTAGTTGCCTTCATACAATGTACTACGCCAGGACTATATAGAATATTAAACTGAGTATTGTCCTTCTCCGAATGAATCGATTACGAAGAATAACTCGTGTATTTGATTCCTTTAAATTCCTCATAATCAAATATTCTTAATTCCATATATGCTTAAGAAATGTAATGAAAAGAAGGCAAGTATATTTAATTCCATATATGCTTAAATATACTTGCCTTCTTTTCATTACACTGAATGTAGGATTGTCGTATAATATATGAGGACAAGCGATTCATTCAAACATAATAGAACCTGTACTCTATTTACATTATTCGGACTATTGTCCTCATCTTTGTCACCATATTTATTATAACGTTTCGGCCCTTCTTCAGGTGGTTGGAAGGTCGAACTGAACCCTTTACTTCGCTCACTGGAGTAAACTGTTCTAGCTCCACGTGTTTAATGGATATCAGTTGTCAGTTATCTCCCGTTAATTCCCCTCGCCAAATTAACCGTCTATTGAACTCACACTCTTTGGGTCATGTCACTGGTTCTAACTAACGCCTTTATCCACTGTACCATGTGTCCTTGAGGATATCTGTTTATGAATTTCTGGGTATTATAAACCTAATGTCTTCAGCATCAATTTTTACCGGTACTCATATTGCAACTTTTGTTGTTATCATTTCATGTATTTAGCAGCGCTCATATTGCAATTTTTTTGTTATTATCGCTTTTCTCTGTCACTCCTTATTACTGGTTCCCATATTGTATTCATTTCTATGCTTGGTCGGCTCAGGAGATTTTTTGTGGCCCAGCATATGTGCTCAAGGAAAGTATACATCTCCCGTGTAGCCATTTCTCAGCAGCCATCGAGAAAACGAAAGAAAAAACGTGAAATGCGAAAAAGAATTTTAGATACATTATTAGTACAATGTTCGAGATATGCAATATCTGGGAAATATTCTAATTCGTATATTAATCAGCATATGTTTCAGCAAATGGTTGTTAAATTTTGTTTTCCTTTTTATGTGCTGTGTCCTTTCAAGACGTAGGCAATCATGGCTCTCCACTTCCTCTATTCCATGTGGATCTAATTAAGTTACGTCCCTCTGCCAACTCCCCCAGACCACGTTCTCCCATCTACTAGCTTAACCCTGCCAGGCTTATCATGTGTTGGTTTCCCATTTGCCTCTATTCGACCTGTTAGCTTCAGATTCTCGAGGTCTGCCTTTCTCATTACGTGTCCCAGAAATTTTAGCTGCCTCTCCCTTATGTTAAGTATAAGTTTTCTCTTTGCTTTCATCCTTTCCACGACCTCATCATTGCTCACACGCTCGCTTCATGATATGCTTATCATTTTTCTGTAGAACCACATCTCCGCCGCCTTGAGTCGCTTCTTCATCTTTGAGGAGACCGTCCAACATTCCCTTCAGTATAGGAGGACAGATGTCACGTAACAGCTCAGTACTGTTTTCTTTGTCACCAAAGAAATCCTCCTGTCTCGCATTAATCTGCCCAGCTTTTGGAATGCATCGTTGTCCAACCCAATCCGTCTTTGGATCTAAGCGTCTCACCTATCGTCCTCCGTCAAAACACTTCCCAGGTATTTAAACTTCCGCGCACGCTTGATTCTAGCACCCCCGACCTGCAAATCGAATTTCGGGCTTTTTTTACTAATGACCATGCATTCTTTTTTCTTGTAGTTTATGGTTTGTTCCTTCTTCTCACTCTCGCTCGCTAACTTCTGAAGGAGGTTATGTAGTTTCTTTTCCGTGTCTGCTATCAATACTGTGTCATCTGCGTATCTTAAGTTGGTAAGATTGTGGCTGCCTGTGATGAATCTTGGTAGGATCTCCAATTCTCTCAGAATTTCCTCGCTGTATAGGTTGAATAATTCCGGTGAGAAGACACATCCTTGCCTTACGTCACTTTCTATTTTTGTATACACGCTGAACTCATTTTCAATGCGCATGCATGTCGTTTGCTGCCAGTAGATGTTCTTGATTATTCTAATATTTTTTCTCGAATATATCAAGGTTTCTGACCAGTTCCAGCAGATCCTTGTGGCGTACTTTGTTGAACGCCTTTACGTAATATATAAACCATTGTTAACGCTCTTATATATGTGAATACAGTAGAAACACAGGGATGATATGTCCATAAAATCATGACAATTCTTGCGATTAGAAATGATTGACAGAGATTGTACCATAGATTAGTTTCTCATACACATTGCACAGAAAGAGCAATAAGGGAATATTTTTAGATTACAAAAATTTTTATTTTTTTAGATAACAATGATTTGCTGATACAAGTCTTAGTAACTAACTTTTAGCTGTGTGGGTGGAGAAAAATATATTCATACATTTCCCAAGTGTATTTTCGCGTAAGTGAATACAAATACCCTGGATAAATGGAATTCGGCTCTTCGAGTTCCAATTCCGAGCCCCTATCAATTACACCACCCGCACATCCAAGTTTTCATCATCTGGTATTCCCAAGCGGTCACCCATCTAGGTACAGATCAGGGTCTCCGTTGCTTAACTTCAATGTTCGTACGAGAACTGGTGTTTCAATGTGATATGATCATACGCCAGAGGATGATAGAACTGGGACAAAGAGGAATTTATAAAGATTTATAAAAGCAAAAGGGAAAATGTGGAGAGCCTTTTCCGTCCGTATTCTGAAGGTTTATAAAAGGCGTAAATAAAGAAAGAATTATTAAAAGCAGTCAGAATGACGGGTTATTTTTAGCGTTATAAAAACACTTGTCGCCTTTGATATGTAGAGAAAGAGAACAAAGTGAAACAGTGTTAAATAGAACCTACTAAATCAATGACAATGGAATAGTGTATGAATAAGAAAGACATTAGAAGAAAGAAAAGAAAATAGATGAAATGAACTATAAATTTACATATCCTTTTATTGTTACGAAACAGAGGATGTGGACGTAAATAATAATTATGAATGATAGATTGGAAATGTTTCTTTTGTTTTCTTTTTAGGTTTGACACACATAGCTTTATCCATCATCTAGCAGAGAATTCTCATGTGAATATTAAACAGAAACTTGATCTCCCCTTGGCTATAGAAATGTGAATGTTTACTCCTTTGTTTTCTTCCACAAGAGTGTCATATAACTAATGACATTTAACTGGTGCATAAGGAAATGCGTCATTTTTCATTACTGGCCGCGAGTACTCAGGAATTTCAAAATACTAGTTAGACATATTCACACTGTTTATATAGTTCGTTCTGCTTTCCTCATCATTGTTGTCATATTCACGACGTTTCGACCGTTGTACGCTCCGGTCTTCTTCCGGTGATTGCTTTTGCGAACCGGACTCTTTCGTCCGCCCACTAAGGTAGATTGCTCTAGATCCACGTATAATATCGCTTCCGGGTATCTTAGTATCAATTATTTCCCTTAAATTCAATACTTCAAATTTTTGTTCACCTCTGCTATAACCAGGTACTGAACACACAACTCACTGGATTAATTCGTCCTACGCCTTCATCCAAAATGCCATATGTCCTTCAGTTAAAGGGAAATAACTGATACTGGGATATCCGGAAGAGGCATGGCACATGGAACTAGAACAATCTACGTTTAGGAATTTCAATCACCTGAAGAAGGCTGGAGAGTACAACAGCCGAAAATTTGTGAATATGACAACACAGATGAGGACAACAGTCCGAACAATTTAAATAGAGCAAGTAATTACAATAATTCTCAGAGTGATAGACTTATTCGAGATACGTTCGTAGTTTAAGATCGAACAATATAATATTTCCAGACAATCCTGTTCTCTACAATACCGTTTCTCCGATATATAATATTGATGTGAGCACTTCGATGTCATTTAATGGTTAGCAAGCTTGTCTCTCTATATCAATTACCACTTAGATCCTCAAAAGCTGCTCCTTACATTCGACATTGAGATACATCTAAGCTTCGCTTTGTTAATCACTATGGTTAAAAGTAATATTGGTGTTAGGAGATGCCCCCCCACCTCACCAAAAAAAGAAATAAATAAATAAACCTGTCTAATCATAAAGCTGATAATGATACCGTTCCTTCTAATTGTGACGTCGTCCCCCGGTCGCAGCGCCAACTGTGACGTTCTATCCTGATCTACCACGGCGCCAGTTGTGACGTCCCCAAACAACACCAATTGTGACGTCTTCGCCGCGGCGCCAGCTGTTCGCTCCTCGCTGCTCCGTCCGGGTGTCGCTGCTCTAAACGTGACGTCCGCCTGTCGCGTCAGTTGTGTTGTCTCGTCCTGTGACGACCAACTGGCTTGGTATCGGTCGCGGCACCCAAATGTGATGTTCTAACCTTTTGGTGATTCGGGTGAGAATCTGGTTAGATTTGATATCAGCCTCGTCGTTCCCAACTCGCTTCCAACGCCTGGTTACCAAGGTAACTGCATTGATCTCCAGTCTGCCTACCCACGTTGTGAATTGATCTTAGACAGACGAGATCAAACAGTGGTTGGGGCCGTAATGCAAATTGAGTTCAACGGGGGTGATACTACACAAATATGCATAAAAGAAAATAAAATGAAAACTCAAAAAGTTCAAAGTATCAAAGAAAAAGGTAACAAACTTTATGTCTAGTTGTTCGATACATAGGACTGCATCTATCTCCCGACTCGTTCTGTGGATTTAACGCATCAAGTTGTTTGCTCTCTAAGAAATTGGCGTTTCGGTGTGTCTTTGGACGAAAGTCGAAAAAAAAAAAACTTATTTCGGTGGTCTGGTTCTAAGTCGCTCTTCAAAATAATTGTTTTTGGGTTGAAGAGGAGTCCGGAATTTTTTTGCGTGAATCTTGGTCAGCTATCTCGAGGCGGTTTCAACTGGAGACTGACTCTGGGAACTCAACTCTGGTAACTCGAGCCCGAACTCTGATTTCTGCCTGTTGGGGCCTCGCTTTTATTGACGCCGACCAAAACCGGGGTGGTTCTGTTGGCGTCGGGGGGTTCCTCGATAATTCTAAATACATATCCACCTCTTTTATATCTGGTTAGGGATTTTCCCACTTTTTCCATTTTGAGAACCCTTACTCACTCCCACTTTCTCCACCATACCTCTGAGGGCGTGAACTGCCCTCCCCACTTCTTCATGCAGCTTCTCATACTTATACTCTGGATGGGGCGTCGACAGCCTTCTTCGTGCGTCACGTGATCACTCTCGGACAATGAGGTCTTGGTCGGGTATCTTTCCTCCTCCTTCGTGCGTCACGTGATCACCAAATGACCAATGATGTCTTAGTCGGGCGTGAACAATCCGTGGCTTTGTTTCGGGAAAAAAAAATATCTTGCTTAACTAAAAAAAAATTATTTCTTCTCTTTCCTTTTTTTTTTTTTTTTAAATCGCCGTTATCATTTCTCTAGCCACGGACAATATGACAACTCTTGTTTTACACGTGGTGTTTGTCAGGTATTTTATCGCTAATTTATCAAGATGGGTGGTATTCTTAACATGGCTTCAAAAAAGAAAAATCCCCAAAGTTTTCAGTCAGTCCGTCCGTCGCCTCCAAGGAAGAAAGAAAAACACTTCTGGTTCCCCATAATTTTATTATCGCAGGCCAAGTTGTTTCGTCGAAAAGAATTCGGTCAGCGCACTGCTTGTGTGGGATTTAATTTTTCATATCTGTCCAAAGTCCTTTTTAGTGGCCTGTTTCTCGTCACTTATCGAAATAGCATTTTCACTTGAATTTTTCCCTGGCCAGTGGTCTAGATAACACAGCCGTTATCAAAACACATCTGGTTCTTTCTTTCTTTTCCTTTTCTTTTTTACTCAGAAATTCCCTGTCATTGTAATGACACCCTTTTCATTGTTACTTATCAATATTTTCATTGTCTCTTAGCCGTGTGTGTGTCTGCTTATCACCTATGATTCGTCTCTTTCTGCCTTCCTTTCTTTCTCTTCCTTTCTCTGCCTCGTAAATGGTGCCACATAATTTAAGACAGGAAACAATAATAAAAACTCGAAAGACGTGAAAATTTCTATTTGAATTTTCTGCTGAATCATGCTTAACTCATGATTTAATTATTGATTTGTTGAGTTCTAAGGCCCTCAGGAAGGAAGCTGATAAAAATTATGAACAACATAGAGTCCTGGCGGATGCCACATTAAGGAAGAAAAAAACTCAGATTCCTTTCTGAACAACGGAAAAAAAATGGTGGTAACCAAAATGTTTGAGAGATGGATAAACGAATCGAACAGAAGATACGATGATGTAAGGCCTAGAAATAGTTCTAAAAGGTTTGTCGAAGTGACTAAAGAGGAAGCATAAGTCAGGATATATTTTGATCTGAGCATGCACTACTGTTGCGCAAGCAAACTCATCTAGGCTTTGACAAAGACCAATCAGAAGAAGAAGAAGAAAAAAAGTAACTACAGGAAAATTAAAGACAAAAATGGCACACTGCCAATCGAGTAGTTAGATATGAGGCGGGTTGACTAATTTGAGGAACAAATGAAGGTATCTGAAGATGGAACAGCTGAGGCTGATTAGCCTGAAGATGAAATTGACGCACAAATAGATGTTGAGGACAAAATCACCACAGTTGAAGTCCGATGGGCTGTTCAGAAAATGGCTAATAACAAGTCTACAGAATTCTAAAACGGACACAGAGGACAATTGCAATCTTCAGAAGAAGATTGAATTGGAAAAATTATTATGACATTATTGGTATAAAAATTAGGATAAGCATGCTGGTTCGAATAGAGATATATAACAATGTTAGTTCCTTATATAAAAAAAAATGTCGACATGAATTATAATTACTTATAATCTGAGAAGAGATCCTTATTTCTACTGACATTTTTTTAATCAAAACAGACTATTGATAATAGATGAATCCTCCGTTTTACTGTGTCTGAATCTGAAGTTGACATAAATATTTAATATTACAAGAACACATTAACATCTTTCAAACGTCGTTCGTTTGGAAAGAGTATTTCCTTGACAATTATAACTGCTGATTTTACGTTTTTATATTCGAGAATTAACATTTATTAACACTTAAATGAAACCCATATCAGAGTCTGTACGTAATAAAGACAGTAGAATTCAGTATGTATAATAATTGGAATTAGGTAACTAATTTTTTTTTTTGCAGTGCCAAAATCGTGTCCGCCAGATTACCTAGAAAATCTGCGTGCGAAAAATACTGTTTTTTTTTTTTTTTTTTTTTTCGGTACATATTCACTTATCGGGGGCAGTGCTAAAAATGTATACTCGTATAGGTTTAGATTACCCATAAACATAAAAAAAAATGACGATGTGGCGCAATGGGTCCTACCTTGTCTGGTTTTTAATACCTGGGGAATTATGTGGCCGGTAAATGAATTTATCAGAGCCTTAAGAGCAATTGTTTTTATGAAAACCATCTCCAAAAACCCCAATGCGATATAGTTTCAGTGGAAACATCCGCTATCAACAACTAGAGAAAAGGAAATTAAACAAATATATAATTGATTAAAACTTACTGAATAAAGTGTCAGTAGGTCGGATGTAGGGAATTCCGATCGCGATATTATATAATCAGGGCATACAATAGAATATGGTATTCATTAGAA